ACACCTTGTTTCACACTTTAACAGCCACTTTCTTCCAAAAAGGTTGTGTGGAGTGGAGGTGGCTTCTAGAGTGACACATGGTCTTAGCTATACAGCTGCAAATAAAACGTTTCTAGTGTGTTTTAAGTGCTAAGGACGTGGGTGGCGCTGTGGGTTAAACCACAGAGCCTAGGGCTTGCCGATCAGAAGGTTGGTGGTTCGAATGCCCGCGACGGGGTGAGCTCCCGTTGCTCGGTCCCAGCTCCTGCCAACCTAGCAGTTCGAAAGCATGTCAAAGTGCAAGTAGATAAATAGGTACCGCTCCAGTGGGAAGGTAAACGGTGTTTCCATGTGCTGCTCTGGTTCGCCAGAAGCGGCTTAGTCATGCTGGCCACATGACCCGGAAGCTGTACGCCGGCTCCCTCGGCCAATAAAGCGAGATGAGCGTGCAACCCCAGAGTCATCAGTGACTGGACCTTTACCTTTTTAAGTGCAATACAGTGGTACCTCGGGTTACATACGCTTCAGGTTACATACGCTTCAGGTTACAGACTCTGCTAACCCAGAAATATTGCTTCAGGTTAAGAACTTTGCTTCAGGATGAGAACAGAAATCGTGCTCCAGCGGTGCGGCAGCAGCGGGAGGCCCCATTAGCTAAAGTGGTGCTTCAGGTTAAGAACAGTTTCAGGTTAAGTACGGACCTCTGGAACGAATTAAGTACTTAACCCGAGGTACCACTCTATACAATGTGACACTGGATGGCAATGGTGAGCCTTATGGAAAATTCAAGGCATTTTTTCAAATGCTTAAAAAAAAGCACATTTTTAAAATTTGTGTGTAGTTTCCACTCAAGTGTCTTTCAATCAGTACACAGGCCAGTTTCCAGTAGTAGTAGCCAATTAAATCTATTTTCTGCTAAAAACAGAGCAGGTTTTCCTCTGAGTTCTGTCTAGGGTTGTGTACACACTAACCCAATGGAGCAAAAAAAATGTAGTTTTTCTCAACCTGGAATCATTCATGTTCACCCACAACATGCTGCTTTCAAATTAGATTTATTCTAGATCCTGCCACCTAAAAAGATGGGTGTGGCTACTTGATACTATTTGAAAACCCCTCCCTGTGATTAAATTATCTACCCATTTTCCTCCCTGCACACATATCCCTGCACACATGAATGAAGAAGGAAGTGGTAATTGCGATCTTGGTAAATGCACACCCACAATGCCATTAGCATACACACCCTCTTTACCAGGACTTCCTGCATTCTGTTTTAATCTGCTTTCAAATGTAATCAGTCTGTAATGAGATTTTCTTTTTTTGGAAGGAAACCAGTTTTTCAAGAAGCACTTTTCAGGGCCAAAAAAATGTGGTAGATCTGGATGATGGGTAGGCAAACTAAGGCCCAGGGGCCGGATCTGGCCCAATCGCCTTCTAAATCCGGCCCACGGACGGTCCGGGAATCAGCGTGTTTTTAGATGAGTAGTATGTGCCCTTTAATTTAAAATGCATCTCTGGGTTAATAGTGGGGCCTGCCTGGTGTTTTTACATGAGTAGAATGTGTGCTTTTGTTTAAAATGCATCTTTGGGTTATTTGTGGGGCATAGGAATTCGTTCTCCCCCCAAAAAAACATATAGTCTGCCCCCCCCACAAGGTCTGAGGGACAGTGGACACTTTTCCCTGCTGAAAAAGCTTGCAGACCCCTGATTTAGATTGTGTGTAGACTACATAGGGAAAAGCAAATATTCAGTCTTCATTGATTATAGCATAAAAAATGTGTACACAGCCTAGGGGAATGGACCATATGTGTAAGAGTGCTCTTACGGCGAACTCATAATTATGGATGTCACTCAGTAGACATGGTAGCACATTCTCTGTGTAGAATATATATCCCTCCATTTCACTCTCCTTTTAAAATTCAAATATAAAAACCCCACAAAAAACCCATAACATCATTATTTCAGTCTTAAATTCACTTCACCACATTTTCACATCAGTTCACTGTTTTTTTTTAAAGTCATCATGAAAATTCACCAGCATTTTAGTGCAAATTTATCACAATATGGATATTTTTGTATCTGCAACATTTTTCTTTTTTACTACCATGCAATAAATTTTATGAAAGAAATAATTTTGCCTAGTATGAACATAATTACACACACACACACATTTCCACACTTTATCCTAGAATATGAATCTTACCTTGGTATTTGAATTTCGATACACATTATTTGACCAAAGAATTGCATTGCAAAATTCAGACACGTATGAATTTTGGAGCATGCCTGTGTTTCACTTTGCACAGTGTTTTAGAAAATGTGGATTTGGTAGGTTTACCTATAAATGAGCACTGAGCTGAAAATCTCCCCCATTTCCCAGTAGTGACTTATAGAGATCTGTTGAACTTTTCAGGGAGTAAACCCAGATTGAAAGCAATGGAAGAATTAAGGAGCCAATTTATGGATTGGTTACAGTATCACCAACTACATATGTTTAAACTAGTTAAGAAAAATGGGTTTTCAGACCAAAGCTCACAATTTGAAAAAGAGTTATTACAGAAAAAGGGGAAAAAACCACTGTCTAAAATGTATAAATTACAGTGGTACCTCTGGTTACAGATGCTTCAGGTTACAGACTCCGTTAACCTAGAAATAGTACCTCAGGTTAAGAACTTTGCTTCAGGATGAGAACAGAAATCGCACGGCGGCAGCGGGAGGCCCCATTAGCTAAAGTGGTACCTCAGGTTAAGAACGGTTTCAGGTTAAGAACGAATTAAGTTCTTAGCCTGAGGTACCACTGTACTTACACCCAGCCCAGTGCATTGGCTGTCAGCTCCCCCCTGGGTCTCAGTGTTGTAGTATTCAGTAGTTTGACAATGACCATGCACCCCAACATTCAAGGGAAAATGGGTCAGGGACCTTTTTCGTGGAAAGGATCTGCACAAATATTGTGTAGGGGTGGATGGGAGTATGTGTCACTTGCATATCTGTGTTCTCCTGTGCTTATATTTCCTATCTGGTTATGCCCTAAAGCAGATGGACCTTCATCATTCTTAATCAGCAAGGCTCCTTAGGAGTGTTCATCTACATCTTACAGACAAAGCTAGGAGGGATTATTAGAAGCAGCCGCCTCGCTTTACTCCCTTCCATGCTCTCAACAGCACCCTTCACGTATTTGATTACATGTTAGCAATTAGTGGGGATGGAGTTATTTTTCAGCTTGCCTGTCTGAGGGAGGACGACTGCATCGTTACAACTCCTTTTTTATTTTTGTTTTTAATGATGCTCAGGAACTTGCAGGATTTAACACCTCACCCTTTGGGAATTGAAAAAGTCAAAATATTTCATCGTATTGTGGCTAAATATTTCTGGTTGCATCTCTCAACGACCTTTAAAGAACAAGAAGAGCAGGCATCAGCAACTTGGCACATCCCAGATGTTTCAGACTACAGATCCCAGAAGTTCACGCCAGCAGAGCTGACTTGGGCTGATGGGAGTTACATCCCAAGGGCACCAGGTTGGGGAAAGCTGAAATAGGGAAACACTGGACAACCTCCAAGAGACATTTTCTGCTTCAAGATCTGGCCGACAGTGGCCACCAGAATGTATTTTACATCAGACAGAAGTAAGCAAGAATCTTTTCACACATTATTGTGGGCTTTGAACAAATTCCAATAGGGAATATTTTTATGAGAGGTTAGTTTATAGACTTCTGAAGGAGTGCCAACACCATGACTAAAATCTAAAAAAAAAGTAGTATAAACACTGACAACTGGGAAACACTAGCCTGTGAGCGCTCCAATTGGAGAACAGCCTTTACCAAAGGTGTCATGGGCTTTGAAGACACTCAAACTCAAGACGAAAGGGAGAAACGTACTAAGAGGAAGGCACGCTTGGCAAACGCTTACCATGATAACTCCCACCCAGAATCTTATGTCCCCACTGTGGAAGGATGTGTGGATCCAGAATTGGCCTCCACAGTCACTTATGGACTCACTGTTAAGACCGTGTTTATGGAAGACAGTCTTACTTGGCTACGAGTGATTGACAAAGAAGAAGATAATGGAACAGATAAATAAATCTTTCTGGGGTCCACTCCAGATTCAAACTACAGCCTCTAAATGGTACCATTACAATCCCTTATGCAGTACATAGACCTCTTATTCAGTTTTAGGAATTCCCCCTAATTAGTCTTTATAAAATCCATAGAAATAAGTCTATGCTAGTCTGAAAGCAGATAAGAACTTGAGCTTTCTGACCTAAAGTACCTGGAGTCACGGCAGAGTGAAATAAATTGCCAGGTCGTTGCCTCCTGTCTCCTTCGGTCTGCCTTCATATGCAATAAATGATGTGATTATAGTAAAGCAGTTAGAAATTCGGGAGCTGGTGTTGGCAAGCAGGGTTTCTTCCCCTGCCCACACATCCCTTTCTCTTCTGAACATGAGTGCAATGGCTTTGAGCCAGGTAAGGCATTCTCTCGTTTTCTATGCACTGGGAACAGAATAAGCCTGGTTGAAAGTAGCCATGTCTGGAATGTATCTTGTCACAGCACAGTAATTACATGAGAGGTAGCAACAGCTAGTTGCACCATTTAATTTGCACGAGGACCTCATGTTGCCATCTTTTCTGGACAGAAAAAGCAGGCACAAGAACGCTGAATGCTGACTGGCAAGCATTGTTCCTGGGCAACCTCCATTTTTTTCAAGAGGGCTTGCATGAGATCCCACGTCCCACTGAAAACATGGGAGACTACATAGACTTGTCATGGACAAATTTAATGATATTTCCAATTCATTTTTTAAAACACCATATTAGCTTAAGGTCTGGTTAACTACAATAACAACCCCTTTTTTGTGACGTACACAATATCTTTTGTTGTTGTTGTCCTACATGGGTACTATTTCTTGTTATCTTACTCTGTGCACTTGTAATTTTGTACTTTTTATTTTTCAACAAAGAATATAAAATAAAATAAATTGATATTGGGCACCAACAATCTCTTGGTATTCACATCCTTTATTTGCTTCTGATTTTACAACGGGGTGATGACCGTGGGTTGGTTCCTTATTTGTTCATGGGAAGTTCCATGATGTTCCACTAGAAGCAGAGGAGATGGTTTATCCCAGTTTCTCCCCACAATGCCCTTTCTATAGATGCTTTGGAGAGGTGAGGAGGCAGCTGGAGATGGGAGTGGAACTCAGTGGAACTCCTCATTATTATCCAAAGTTACCCTTTTCAGTTACCTCTTGCCTCCTTAGAAACCGTATCATGACTTCTAAAATTTTCTTTTATGGCTGGAACAAATGGAAGACCAATTTTATATTTTCTCACCTGTTACTGAACTTCTCTCACGAGAAAGGACTTATCCTGGCTTACTGCTGGACTACCCTGAACAGATAACCACACCCCAAATTTTGTAGCAACGCAACATAAAAGAAAGAGGGGTTCCTTACACTGAGGGAAGATGGGGAGGATATCCACAGGTGTTTATTTAAGTTTATTTCTAGATGCTTGCTGGCATCCACATAATAAATCCATGTGCTTATTTCATTGTTGGTTATAAGGAGGCAGTCACTGTCTGGTCTTAATTTTGATATTAGTGGTGACATCTTATACATATCTACTTAACTCAGACCCACACAATACATTTAAAGCACTCTTATGCCTCTTTAACAGACATAACTTCCCCCAAAGAATCCTGGGAACTGTAGTTAATAAACCACAGTTGTTAAAGTGGTATAATCGTTCTTTAAGTGTTTGGTGTGGCTATAAAGCTCACTAAGTTCAAAGAATCATAGAATCAGTTGTAGAGGTGGAAGGGACCAGGGGGCTTATTCCCGGGAAGTGAGTATAGGACTGTGGTTGAACTAGAACCTAACTAGTGCCGCTCTGATGTAATGGCTGATTGATTCACTGAGCAAGTGAGTTCAAGTGAAGAAAATCCAAGCAATAGAACTCTTCAGACCAGGGCTAGTTATATGGCTAGATTCTGCCCAACATTGTGGAGGCTTGTCTCATCTCATCGTGTGAGCGTGACTTCACAAATGCAACATGCATGATGTCACGCACATCAGGAGCAGGCCTGCCACCATCATAGGTAGACACCTCTAAAGGTAGACTAACTCTATATGTAGACTAACCATCATAGGTAGGCCCGACAACTTGGCCCCCGCAGGGAGGCCCAGGCCCTCAAGACTGAGGGGGCTTAGCTCTGTTCCCACATATTTGGGGGGTGGCCAGCCCCACAGAGTGTGTGCCCCAGGTTACATCAGTCCAAGGATTTCCATTTGTGCAACAGAACTTCCTCTACTCTCCCCATGTGTCCACCCCACTGTTCCAGAGGGTTGAGAGAAAATCTAGAAAAGAATTGAGGGGAGAGGCAGTGTGGGGAGAGGAGAGCGAGGTGACATTCTTCTGCACAGCCAGAAATACTTGCGTTAACTGAACTACTTCCTTGGAAAGCAGCTCAGGATTGCAGCACTAATACTATTTTAGTCACTAGGGTCACATGACGGCTATCCCTACGCTACTCAAGTAGGCGTTAATTGACACAAATGTGAGTCTAAGTATACCTTAAAGTGCAAGTCCTGCACACTCCTGGAGCCCTCACATGGAAGGCGCAGGGAAGAATGAGCCAATTCCGTGACAATTGTTTGAGGAGATTCCACTTAGTGGGATTCTACTAAGGGCACGGCACAGCATGCAATAGTAGGAACTTCACCACTCTGATACTTATCCTTTTAAATAATAATAATAAGCCTCATCCTCAGCTACAGCTGACTATTAGCATTTCTTCAGTTATTATATTCAGGAGGAAACCCCCTCCTCACCAAAGAGGCTATCCACAGTAGCACCATCTGGTGAATTCTGAAAATGGTATCTGTATTTATTGAATTTTCTCTTCCCTGTCAAGGAGAAGCTGACACCATTATCACCCCTTTTCCATGCAGGTAGATGGTGCTAATACAATTAAAACCCTTTATGAAAGAATCCACACGATGGATGATATGAGAGTCCTGGCAGAAAGCTTCTGCCTGCCTGCCTGCCTGTGGTGAATAGCTTCAAGTTAGAATTCAATGCTTCAAAGTCTGTGACAACCCAGAAATGGCTCATTACTGAGGGGCTGATTCTGATGCTGAGCTGTTCCTTGTTCTGACAACAGGGGATAAACTCAGCAGTATCTTAATAAGCTCTGCTGCATACCTGATGGCCACCTATGGTGAGGAACGCCGTGTGGCAGCCTTCTTGCTGAAGGCTGAAGGCATGAAAAGGCACTTATTTGAGTTACATTTCGCCTTGCCAAAGCAACAGCAGGTGATGTGAACGAAGAAAGGAAGAATAATAGGGTGTCTAACAAGACCACCTTTATTTCTCAAATGCAGATTAAAACCTATGCAACACCAATCAATGTGGTTGCTGAACTGAAGGATTTGCAGTACAGAACAAAACTCCCTTCAGAAATGGCACGATATGATGGCAACCAGGGGCAAAACCCTATGAAACCTGCATGATGCAACTGAGGCCTGCATTTGTTGAAGTTAAAATTCTTCTAGGACACCACCTGGGTGTGATGTTAATTCAAGAACTGCCCGCCAAATCTCTGGCTAAAGAATTTGGGTACGAGACTGGCCCGAACTTTGAATGTTAGAATGGTTAGCTCATTTAAGAATCTCTCTGCTTTGAACATATGTTGATAGGTCAATTGGTTAGAGTGTGGTGATGATGATGCCAAGGTTGCAGGTTCGATCCCCGTAAGGGACAGCTGCATTATTCCTGCATTCCAGGAGGTTGAACTAGATGATGCTCAGGGTTCCTTCCAACTCTGTGATTCTATGACATATCATATGCCAGCCCTGAAAGGACTTTGGGCCAGGCCAAGCTAACATTTTGCTAGATCCAGGTACCAAAATTCACCCTATCCCACTATTTGACCCAGCCTAGAAAGCATCCTAGAAGGACGCAGGTGACGCTGTGGGTTAAACCACAGAGCCTAGGACTTGCCGATCAGAAGGTTGGTGGTTCGAATCCCCGCGACGGGGTGAGCTCCCGTTGCTCGGTCCCTGCTCCTGCCAACCTAGCAGTTCGAAAACATGTCAAGTGCAAGTAGATAAATAGGTACCGCTCCGGCGGGAAGGTAAACGGTGTTTCCGTGTACTGCTCTGGTTCGCCAGAAGCAGCTTAGTCATACTGGCTACATGACCCGGAAGCTGTACGCCGGCTCCCTCAGCCAATAAAGCGAGATGAGCGCCGCAATCCCAGAGTTGACCACGACTGAATCTAATGGTCAGGGGTCCCTTTACCTTTACCTTTTAGAGAGCATCCTAACCAGCCCAAATTCAAAGGAATGGCCATGAGTCAGGATGACTGTACTGTATGCTACTCTCAGGATCAGAGGCAGCTTACCTCTGAATGTCAGTCTCTGGGATCAGGACATTTTGGTCCTGGAGTCAAACTATAAAATGGTGACACCCCTGGCCAGGGAAGAAGGGATTAGTGATCTACATAGGAAACAAGGGTGTGGTGGGGGAGACCAGCAATGCCTCTTATTTGCCAAGAGCAGGCATCCCCAAACTCGGCCTTCCAGATGCTTTGGGACTACAACTCCCATCATCCCTAGCTAACAGGACCAGTGGTCAGGGATGATGGGAATTGTAGTCCCAAAAACACCTGGAGGGCCAAGTTTGGGGATGCCTGGCCAAGAGGCTGCTGTAGAGGAGGCATTGGTGGCAATTAAAATGGCATTTTCTCTGTTTAAATTACAAAGGAAGAAGTCGTTTAGGATTTTTAAATTTTGAGCATGTCTGACACCATAATGAAATTTCAAAACAGTATGAAGAGAGGAGAATGGAGATAGACGTGATGATTTCTCTTGGTTTTTAAACGATTAGCACTCGTCTATTTATTTATTTATAGTTATCTTTCCGGCTGTTCTGAGCAACCATAACTCGGATGACTTGTTTTCTCCTCCCTGGGTGAAAAATGAAGTTTGAAAGACCGTTCATTACCTTCTTGGTATGTGTTGACTCTGCTGATTCTTCATCTGCCAAAGTGGATACCCTGGCTTCTGTCTCATCCACAGACTTCTGGTAAGAAAAGTAATTGATCAAATTAGCTGGCCTATAATCCCACACAGACTGCTTGCCACCACAGCTTGTTAACTTTCTACACAGTTTATTTAGCTTTCAGAATGACATCATGAAAATCACCTCCAATACATCAAACGGATATGAAAAGAAACCCAATCTGCCTCAAAGCTATGCTATTTTAAAGATTAAAATTTAGGCTTTCCATTCACAGTTAGTGAGCTTAGTGCACATTTTCTACTCTGCTTTTTGTTTGCTAGTAATACTTTATTCCCTACAGTTTTGAAAAACACAACCTTTCAAAGTCAACCTCCCAAACGCAAACCAAAGATGGTAGTCTAGACAACATTAAGTGTTTAACCAACCCTTTTATAGCCTAACATCGATCTTTTTTGTTTGGAGGAAGCTGGGTCTTAATTATTTGGGGCAACTCTGGTGTGTTTCCATTTAATGGTGACAGAGAATTTCACCATTAAATGTACCTCTTCTGGTTTCATGTGAAGCAGGAAGTCAGGTGACATCTCCCCAAGGGCCAAATATGCATTCTTCCATTGTAGGGCAAAAATAAGAATTTTTGTTTGAAATTGTTTGCCTTTCCTTGCGAGAAGCAAAGCAAGGGAACGTATGCCTTACTCACACATTCTGTATCATCATTTTGGGTACATTTCAAAGCTGCTCTAAAACTTCTCTAATAGGAACACTTACCTGTTTATTAATAATATGCATTTTGTGGGCTAACAGATCTCAACTTTTTTTTTTTAAAAAAAGTTGCTGCTTTGGGTCTATAACTGCAAATAACTGTTTTCATTGGAAATATAATTATTGTGCTCTTGTCCTGACCTTTTTATCTTTGGCTTAACAGTTGTTTCTGCTAAGTGTCAGAGAGAACATCACTGCTGAAAAGCACCACACGTTTATCAGCTATAAAAATAGCTAATCACCACAGTCAAGTAGAAATCCCGAAAGTTAAAAGCTCTCAGCCCAAAAGTGATTTGTTTTTATTATTTTAAAAGGGGGGAATGAGAAGCCTTAATCACCTACATTTTATGGATATGTTCATGCCAACTGATATGATCACACCAACTGATCTTGTGCCGTGGCTCATGAATGTGGTTAGCGACATTGGATTTAGATAGTGCTTAACTACAAAATGGTGCCATAGGATCACAACCACCACCACCACCACCACCACCACAACAACATCATATGCTCTGCTCTAAGCTTCAGCCAAATTAGCTTCTTGCATAGATGGCATTATATAGTTCAGCGCTGGCTGAAGACCTTCCTCTATCAACAAGTCTTTTAATTTTATTTTTTAAAATTATTTGGTTTTACATATTTGAATTTATAATCATACCACAATACATACAAAGTTATAAGATTCCCATGAATCTCTGGACTTCCCACCTTCCCCTCTGAGGGTTCTGTTGTTGAACCTTTTCTACTGCATCTTTTTTTTATTAATTCAAGTTTTTATAACTCCATTGTATCCATAGTTCTCATTACATTACAAGTGTTATTGTAATCCTGCTAACGTTTTCAACTGCTTACAGTGGTATTCAAGGTAAATTATAAATTTCCCCCATTCCTTATTAAAGTTTTGGTCTTCCTAGTTCTTGATCTTTCCGGTCAATTTTGCCATTTCGGCATGGTCCATCAACTTAATTTGCCATTCTTCTCTGGTAGGGACTTTGTCTTCTTTCCATCTCTGGGCTAACGACACCTGTACAGCTGTCGTCGCATACATAAAAAGTCTTTTCTGCTCCCTTGGAATATCAGCAACTACAATTCCTAATAGAAAAGCCTCTGTTTTTTTTGTAAAAGTTATTTTAAACCTTTTTTTTCAGTTCATTATGTATCATTTCCCAGAATGCTTTTATTACCTTACATGTCCACCACATATGATAAAAGGTGCCTTCTTTTTCTTTACATTTCCAACAGATATTTGTACCCGTCTTATACATTTTTGGTAACCTACTAGGGGTTAAATACCAATGGTACATCATTTTCATTCAACAAGCCTTTTAAGTTGAAATCTTTCCCAGTCTGCATCTGTATTGGAATTGTTTAAAATATTTTTAAAATACTTTTTTTTATCACTTTCAGTTTTTGGACAAGTGGACTTCTTCCCAGATAAGTGTGCACTTTGGATTTCAGCTTTAAGCATTTTTAAACAATAGTTGTTCAGTGCATACAAATAATGAACTGGCCAGAAATTGAGGTTCCCCTGAAGAACAATCGTACGTGATTCAAATTGCAGGGAGGGCATCCTTAAATTGCACCTCTGGCACCTGAGACATTGAGTGCTTTATAGATGAGAAGTACCCCCATAAATTTCACCAGAAAAGAAAGCAAGGCCATAAATACAGTCAATGCAAAATCTATACAGAACGCAGGAAAACCCAGAATTAAATGGGATTTAAGCGTGATTTCATTCTGTTGAGGACACTGGTGCTCATGTGAAGTTCAAATGTTTCTGGAATGTTTAAACCTCCAATAGATATTTATTCCCTTTGCCTAATGGAATATTTAAGTAGATTGTTCCTGATTTTTATTCTCCTTTGAACATTGTGCGAGTACCTTCCACCTTAGTGTTGTGTTTAAATGGTAAAAGTATAACCCAAAACAAAATGTTGTGAGTTCATATAATTCACCATTCTTTACTTGGCTTTAAATCCACCATCGCTTGATCCAAGCACTAATATCCTCAAAGAAATTCTTCCTATAATTAAAAATGAGGCAACACAGACTTCTCCGTTTTCAACAGTATGCTGTTTTATGCATTCTTGCAGTTAATAACTTATTCCAGGTATTAAATCTGTCACATTCCTTTTACTTAGACCAGTGGTGAAGAATTTATAGCAGGAGACCCAGATGTGACCCAGCAATTTGAAAACATATCAGAGATATGAATCCAATTAGTTCCTGTCCAAATGCTGACATATATACTCTGTATCAATATGTGACATCTGAACAAGTAATATTTAATACCAAACTCAAAGTGATGGCAAAAATGAAAACACGGGCATTACTTAACACTCACTTTCTGATCGCAGTTCACTCTTGAAAAAAAGTATGTTGACTTGCCACGCTTGACTTAGATGCCAGGAGATAATATTATTTGAAATTTTTGACCAGAGAACAGAAATTTTGCTTTTCCCTTTCCATTCTGACCCGCTGCCCCCAACATATTCCACCTACAGATTTAACAACAAAAGCAGATAACTTTCACACACATCAACAGCTATCATGCAGTACAATGGGGGGAAAAACTGATATATTTCTGCCCATTAACAAAGCCAATGAAAAGAGCCTTTCTGACATAAGCACATTTTGTTAAAAAAATGCACACAGTTTTCATGGATGCTTATTTTATTTTCATCTGCAAAGTCTATCAGCATTTACTGAAATTTTGTAATAATGAAAGTACAAATCAATTTCCAGCAGAAAAGCAACTAACGACAGCTTATTACAAAACTTCAACAAATGCTGATAGGCTTTGCAGATTTTTTCCCCCCGAATAAAAGGAGTATCAATAAAAACTGAATATTTTTTTAAAAAAGAAAATGTGTTTATGTCAGAAATGGACTTCTCATTGGCATTTTTTAATGGGCAGAAATAGACCCGTCCCCTGCCCTTGTACTGCATGATAGCTGTTGATGTCTGTAAAAGTTATCTGCAAGTTACAGGATGTGGCTTAGCACTGATGGTTCTTAAAAACTGGGACGGATGAGGGTCAACAATTCTAGCCACTGTGTTGGGAATCAGGTAGAGGCAGGGATTTGGTAATTAGAAAGAGAAGCCCGGAACAACTGCAAAAAGTAGAAAGGCACAGTCTATATGCTTCAAGGGCAGACACAGTTATCTGATAATATCAGAAGAGGAAAGAGAGATTGTTGAGAATTGTGCTTAATTTTTTGGTAGTATATTATAAAATCACTTTGAGATGCTTCATAGGAAGCAATTCACAAGTGAAATAAATACAGTGGTGCCTCGCAAGACGAAAAGAATCCGTTCTGTGAGTCTCTTCGTCTAGCGGTTTTTTTGTCTTGCGAAGCAAGCCCATTGACGGATTAGCGGATTAGCGCTATTAGCGCTATTAGCGGCTTTTAGCGGCTTTTAGCGGCTTTTAGTGGCTTTTAGCGGCTTATCAGCTTATCGGATAAGCAGATAAGCGGCTTAGCGGCTTAGAAAAAGGGGGGGAAAGGGAAAAAAACCTGCAGGAACTCGCAAGACATTTTCGTCTTGCGAAGCAAGCCCATAGGAGCTTCGTTTTGCGAAGCACCTCCAAAACGGAAAACTCTTTCGTCTAGCGAGTTTTCCGTCTTGCGAGGCATTCGTCTTGCGGGGCACCACTGTAATCATTTACAAGTGCTGCTTAATGTTCTTTTTGAACTTGTAAGAAAGCAATCCTTTAGTGTGGCAGTACCCGTCAATTACAGTTGTACCTTGGTTCTTGAACAGAATCTGTTCCGGAAGTCTGTTCGACTTCTGAAAATGTTCAAAAACCAAGGCGTGACTTCTGATTGGCTGCAGAAGCTTCCTGAACTCAATTGGAAGCCGCAGAAGCAACGTCGGGCATTCGGGTTCCAAAGAATGTTCGCAAACTAGAACACTGACTTCCGGGTTTGCGGTGTTTGGGAGCCAAAACGTTCGAGTCGCAAGGCGTTCGACAACCAAGGTACGACTGTATACTCTTCCACCCAACACACACAGATAGAGGTTCTTGCTTGGAAGCAAGAAAGATCTTCATTCAGACAAGTAACAGTACAGGCTCAGCAGCAAACACAGTACTCGGGGGGTCATGATTCAGGAGCAGGCCATGAGGTTCAGAACTGGACAGAAGTCACGAACATGTCCCAACAAGTTCTCCCACCCTCCGGCCGTGTTTTTAAAGACAATGCACCACCATGTTTACTCAAGAGATTCTCTCCCCTTGTGAGAATATCAAGATTGCAAGCACATGCTCTGTTGGGGAGGGTGGGTCATCTTCCATCTGTGATGGTGACGCCTGGTTCTAGGAAAGAAAACTCACCCTCCTGCTCAGGCTGCTTTCCCGTCACTGCCGCTGCCTATTCAGCCTCCCCAGGCAGCCGATCAAATCCCTTGCCAGCCTCCATTGAGGCTTTCCGCTTCGCAGTAAAATCAGAATGGGAAGCCAGCATCCTTGTTTCCTTTTCCAAAGTGACTGAAATCTGGATGGACCCTTATAGCAATTTCATCAGAATAAATTCAGGCGTGTAAGCATTATACATATGATGGTAGACTTTATTGTTCTTCCTCTGGTCAACCAAAAGCAGCCAGTGTCACCCCCCCAAAAAAAAACCTCTTAAAAAAGGTAATGTTCTATGTACTGAGGCTCTGAAACTGTTTCTTTGAGTTCCTGGAGGAACAAGAACATTTTGTTATGTTCCAGTCATAGTCAAATGCCTCAGCCTAGAGATTGCAGCTTTGACTTTTGATTTTTAAGAGGACAGCGGCATGCTTTTTGACAGCAAGGTAAACTATAATAAGATATTGTCCTCTCTATCATCAGAGGGGGAAAATTACAAGCTTCCAAAAAGGGGAGGGAGAAGCAGTATTGCGGGCAAAACAGCAATAGAGGAAAAACCTGCTGTGAAGTATTTCATTTTTGTGATTCTTTTAACAATTTACAGAAGAAATAGCACATAATGGAAGTTTGGTTTTCTTATGGGAGCCATAAATAAAATAGTGGTATAATCAAAAGGACAGAAGAAGAAAGACACTTCTGATATTTAATTCTTATTTACGTTCACCTCCATAATTTATGGCTTGCAGGGAAACGTGGAAGGTTACAAAATACAATAACTCAACCTCCTGTGTGTTTTCCTGCTGCACCCTGCCTGTTAAAGCTTTCCAAAGCTTGAACCTGCTGCTTTAATTTACTGCTTTCTACCCAGTGATTAGAGTGGGGTTTGAAAAGGTCTTCAGAAAAAGTGGTGAGCTTTCCGTAGGATTTGTTACTGGAGCTTGTTCATCTCTCTGATCAATAGCGCGCTGCAAGTCTAGGTCTCTTGCATGGTCTCCTGAGGATGCTCACTTCAGCTCAGGGAACTTTCCAATGATTTCATCTCAGAGAGAGAGGTTTTCATGTAAAGGAGAAAGAGCAAAAGAGAGAGAGAATGTTTGTGTGTTGCAATGTGTGTGTGTGTGTATTCCTAGACACAGCTCTCTGCAGTTCACTAAAACAAAGCAATCTTCCTCCAAGCCACATATTTAGTACATTGAAGTCACAGTTAATTAAATATTTCAAGTGGAATGTGCGCATATTTAAGAACACTGGAATCTGCCTTATACCTAACCAGGCCATTGGTACATCTAGCCCAGTGTTGCAGACACTGGGGTGAGCGACTGAAGAATCTCAAAGGTGTTCTGGAAGTCATTGCTCTTCCCAGAGATCCATACAATCTGTCCCTGCTGGGTAGGGAGAGAGAAGGAGGTGTCAGAAAGAGACATAATGAAAAGGGGGTGACGTAAAGGAAATCAGAGAAAGAAAAGGCGGCATCTGCTGCTGCCGGAGCCAGCTTGCTCAGCACCCAGCATGCTGTTCTCAACACATGGTCTGGAATGTGATCCTCAATCGGAGGAAAAAGATCCCCTGGTCTACACTAGGGCTGGGCAATATCTGGTTTTCAACATCGCAATATATCACCAGCTAAACATCACAATATACTGATATATCACAGTGTCTAAAATAAGGATGGAATTATGTAGAGGCATTGACTGGCTTCATGGTTTTTCCCACATTGTGATTTTTGCATAGCACACACACATTTTATGATTCACAATATATTGCCAGGTCAGAAATGATGAAACCAATATAATGATATGGACTTGAAGCCAGTTTTGGACAATATATCTCCCAGCCCTAACATGATTCGCGATACATTGCCAGGTCAAAAACTATGAAACCAATATCACGATATAGACTTCAAACTGGTTTTGGACAATACATTGATATATTGCTGAGCCCTAGGCTACAGTGACTGGCAGCAGCTCACGAGATTTTGGAGTGATATGGGGGCAGGGAGATAGTTTCCCCTATGCAAAACATGTGGCTTACTACTAACCTATAAACCTGCATTCACAATAAAAACAGATGAATTTCAAGGATGTCCAAATACATACATTTCTTGGTTGGGGTGTCTTACACCAATGAATGCTGACAATCCCATTTGGATGACTGTCAACATTCACTAGTGTATTGCTGAGCTCTCAGGTCCTTGTGAAATTCAGCTGGGAAGATGGTCAATATTCACCAGATTTTGGACATTAGCTGTAACATCTAAAATTACTGAACCGTATAAAGAGTGAAAGGATGAGCTGTAGGGAGGATTAAGCTATGTCTCACCTTTCAGAATGATTGCCTACTGTAGTAGATTATAGATTATAAAGCTGTAGCCTAAAGCATAAAATGGAGAACATGAATGGAGTTTGATTTTGTGTGTATGGCAGCTAAAGGAAACGATAAACTATACTCCACCAACGTACTCCTTCCAATAATGAAATATCGACAACCATGACTGCATAAATTAAGATTATTATTATTATTTGCCTAATACTCCTATAACAAACATTAGATCTTGGCTGTATAATTTTGATTTTTCTTTCACAGAATTTAAGGCAACCATATACTAATGCAAAGTGCATTAGTTCCATGTGGTTTGTGCACAGAATTCCGCCCCCACTATCAGTTGAAGCACTTATATAGATTTCACTGCCAAACAGTATAGGATTTATAGAATAGAATGATTGCCACTGATCTGCTCCAGGTTGATGGCTCTAGTTGGCAGAATATTCTAACAGAGAACGGCACTGAGAATATTTATAATCGCATTATATCCCATTGCCAATCTCTTTGGGGTTTCTGAAATAAAGATACTACAATGCAGTTGGGAAGAAAAAGCTAAATCATTATTTTTACCCCCTGCCTCATGTTTCAGTATGATGTCAACGTTTTCGAGTGGGGAACCCCCACAACAAAACTTTCCTTTGTACAAGGCAGTGAAAGGAATTTACTTGCTGATAAGGCTTCAGCCCAGTGTACCTTTCTGCGCCCCACCCTATTTGCTATTTTTCTCTTCCATGTTGAATTATTTGTGTTGATTTTCCTTTTGGTAGCTCATTCACCCAATGAATCATTCCAAAGCCAGAGAAATATCATAAGATGCACCTGTTTTGACGAGAGCTGTCTCTCTTCGTTATAAGTTCCAGAGAAATCAATAAATATAACACTGATAGCAGCAATCATTTACATTTACCTCAGGAACTTTCCCTTTTAATCCAAATAGATAGATTTCTTTCAAGTTTGCCAGGGAAGCTATCATAAGCAGATAAGCCAAACCCTTCACAAGGAGAGCGAAGGAGGAGATTGTAAGTAACTGATGTCATTTGGCATAAGACGCTAGAATTTAAACTTGGCAATATTGTGTGTTCACCCTATAGGCATTTATGAGCACCATCTATTGGCATTTACTGCACCATTACACTGTAAATTGATCACCTCACATGGATGCATGTTTTGTGAAGATTATGATATTGTAAGAGGCAGCCATTCTGCTGTACATTCAATGGCCATTTGTCCATAAAACCAAACAGAACGCAGTGTGTGGTCTCGAGCCATTTTAAAAGTGTTTATACCCTGCATGGTAGAGATACTGTTAAAACAAAAAAATAAAGAAAGCAAGCAGAGAAAACAAACCTTCAGTTCACTTTGTGCCAGGGACTGACAGGACTCTGATGAGTGTGTGTCTGAGGCATGGAGGCTGGGGACTGACCAGCAATTTATGGGGTTTGGTGCCACTCATGAGGCAGGAGCCAGGGAGGGGGTAAGAGGATGAGTCAGAGCAGCCAGAGGCAGAAGAGGGGGCACAGGATGTGTTGGACGCAGAAGAAAAGGCTGCTCTGGCAAGGGACAGACCAGTCAAATCCCCGCTCCACTTTCTCTTAGAACCAGAAGTATCCCATCAGATGAGGGCACATAAGCTGAGGCAGGGGGCATTGTAAAGAGATAAAGGCTTCCCGGGAAATGACATATAATGAGTTAAAGAAAATGTTTAAAAATACTTTTATTTAAAAACAAACAAACCCAGAAGCCTTTTTACTGGGTATAGTAGGCAAAGAGATTCCAAAAAAAGATAAAAGATTGTTCATGTATGCAACAACAGTGGCAATAATCCTTTTAGCCCCAAAATGGAAACAACAAGAAGTACCAACGAAAGAAGAGTGGCAGATGAAGATGATGGACTTTGTGGAACTGGCGAAGCTGACGGGAAAAATCTGAAACCAGCACGATCAAGTATTCCAAAAAGACTGGAGTAAATTTATCCAATATTTGAAAGGCCATTATAAGCAATTAACAACACTAGCAGGGTTATCTGAAGACTTGTAATGAGAAATTTTTTACTTTTCTACATTTATTACATTTTGAGGTATTTTGTAATAAGTTATAGTAGAACTGGAAAATATATAAAATACTGTGATATAAAGGTTACTTTTAAAAGCCAAGAGGTGGGAGGGAAGGAAGTCAACAGGCTCTAAACAGCCAAAGAAGTAAAGTGGATAATAACGATGTGATTATATATGTTTAAATGGAAAATTAATACAAAATAATAATAATAATAATAATAATAATAATAATAATAATAGAATTACTATCAGCCATGTGCCTTCCTTAGTTATGGGGTGCTCCGGATACTTTGTAAATACAATGAATGAACCAGCCCTTGAAAAGTTTTGTAGCTCTGCAGGCTAAATGGCAGATTGATGGTTTGTTCCAAGGACTGCTTCAATGAGGCAAATGAGGGTTCTTAGCAAAAACGGGACTGGAATGAACTTCTCTGATATCTCTAACCCAGCTGGAAATGATGGTGGTGACAATCCAATGTGGGTTTCCGACGTTGGCCTGGTGAACACTGGGATTTCATGGAAATTGATCATGGGTTTCTTCAGTGAAATGAAAAGTAATGGCGGACAAGTTTCTCTGATAACTTGCCTACCTCTAATGAGGGAAGTGTTGGATGTAGTCAGCTGGGTACAGTGAGGCAGCTGATTTGGGGTGTCATGAAAGATAAGCAAATTTGTATTTATTCATTTGTAGTTTCATTACATGCAGGGAGAGAGGCATTTGTGGGATTTTCTTTCTCAGACTTAAAAAGAGTGGCCTTCTATAAAAAGGGTGGCCTTCTATATTATACATCTCCACAGGGCATGAGATGGTGACGTTTCTCTCTGCCTCAGGTAGCAAAATATTTTGGGCCTGTCCTGTATGTGACCTACATGTGACTCCCAGTTCGTGAGGGGAACAACACCCAGCTTGAACATTCTCTAGAAACTTCTGCAATGCATAGGTTTCTTATTTGCAGTCATGCAGGACTTCTTTGACAGATGATTTGGAAAAGGTTCTCTCAAGCTAGAGAGCCTGAAAACAAATGGGCTAGAATGCATTCAAGGTGTGTAACTCACTATGAATGCATGAGAAAATGGTCTGCGATAAACATACCTTCACCACAATGTGTTCTGCAGGTTAAATTTGTGGTTTTTGTAATCCACTGTAAGCCATTAACACAAATTAAAGAAGTAATGTTGGTGAAAAAAGAACGTGCAACTTGTTTAAACAAAATGGTAGCCAGGAGTGGGATGGAATAGAAGATAAATAGGTGTGGGAAGTTGTAGCAAAGGAATTACCACTCAGTGTAGCTCTGCTTGTTTTGCTCTCCAGGGCTGAGAATGGATGACACATAGTCCTGTTTATTTACATTTATTTTCTGTTTTGAAAGACAGGCAGAGAAGCAAAATAATATGAGAGCCTACTCAAATGCCTGCTAAATTTCCCCTTAAATTGAATTTCTCATTTTATCAGAGAGCAATACTTGCACTGATGTTAGACAGGCAGCTAAAAGGTCAACAAGTTCCCTTGGTTGCCTTTTGTCAAGGGTTTTTGACTTGTCTGTGAATAAAGATCTCCCAGGAGGGAGGCAGACCTGAATTTCCTGTCATCCTGAAGACAGCAATGAATTTGAAAATGTTACAAAAAGCATAAGGGACTTCCAGCACACCTTCAAATGCTCTGTCGATGCCAATAGCCTCTCATGTAAACATGTACACAGAGTTGTTTTGGATTTGTTCTGTCAACTTTTGGTTGTGAAACAAATTGTTGTACAGCTGCCCACCATGAATGAGAATGAGCCTCGGATGTTTTTCATTACTGCGCTGAGATTAATAAGAACACAGAAGCGACGGCGCATTGAGCTCAGAATCCTCTCACTGACAGTTCGCAGGACTGAAGCTTTGAAAGAGAGAATATTGTGAGACCCGGGACACTGACAGAGCAGGCTGGTTCCTAGGGACCATTGCTAGTTCCAATTTGCCTAAGGCCACTCTTTGCAAGACACAGTTCTTGCTTTCCGTATTCCTAACATTTTCAAAGACAGTCTACTGGCCCGCATTATGTGCATATTATGCACAGCTTGTACCTTATTTTGAGAAAGCTTTGCTTGTTTTCCAGCTACAGGACCAGCCTTGTGATGAGGCAGAGGGAGGCAGCTGCCTCAGGCAGCAAATGCTGAGGTTGCGAGGAATGGCCAGAGCTGCAAGTGCCATGTGACCTACTCTGTACCCTGCTAACCTAGCCCACTGCCTTCAAAGGAAGTGGAAGAGACAATGTTTTCACCAGCACAGGAGCAAGATTCAACCACCAATCCAATTGGCTTCTGTGTGTGCCTTAAGGGAGAGCGCCATCTTGCCCATTACCCAAGGCAGCAAAATGTCTTGAGCTGGATCTGTGCAGCTGTTACTGCCTTGTGGCCTTTGTAGCTTAACAAGGATCTGGGGTGACTGTGGCCAAACAAACCATGGTTAAGGAAGGATGCTAGGTTTGCACAAAGCACCAGGCCATTGCTGAAACAAACCAACGTTCATAAGCCAACCACAAACCAGGGCTTATTGTGGTTTGTTGGCAGTAACTGAGACATAATTAAGCAGCAGTGCTATGCATGTTGGTGTTGCCAGCACTATGTATGTTCGATGCCAGTCCTCTCTTGAACATTCCCATATGCTTTTGGCCATAACCCTGTTCCAGTCCCAAAGGAGCAGAGATGCAGTGAGATGATTACATGTGAGCATACCAACTGGGTACAATAAGTGTGGAACAGGATCATATTTGCCCATTCTGTGCCCATCCTGCCCTGATTTCAGAATGTTTGCTGTAACCTCTACACGTCAAAGATCAAAAGTCTGATCTTTACTCATAAGAAGCAGGGTGTTGTGGCCCATCCCAGATAAGGAAGGCACATGTCTGATAATTAACACATTATGGCAAGAGAAACACAGTAGCTTCCATAGCCCCTCCTGATTCTAGGAGACAGTAGTCTGGGGGAAGGTATGGAATCTACTGACCTGTCCCTCACCTGATCTGCCCCTTCACCTTCCGCCATATTCTGCTCACCTTCCTTGGACTGCCCTGACTCTCCCTCCTGTCCTGGAGCGAGTGGTGCTGTGGTCTAAACCACTGAGCCTCTTGGGCTTGCTGATCGGAAGGTCGGCAGTTCAAATCCGTGAGACGGGGTGAGCTCCCGTTGCTCTGTCCCAACTCCTGCCAACCTAGCAGTTCGAAAGCATACCAGTGTGAGTAGATAAATAGGAAGGTAAATGGCATTTCCATGCACTCTGGTTTCCATCACGGTGTCCCGTTGCGCCAGAAGCGGTTTAGTCATGCTGGCCACATGACCCAGAAAGCTGTCTGTGGACAAACGCTGGCTCCCTCAGCCTGAAGTGAGATGAGTGCCGCAACCCCATAGTCGCCTTTGACTGGACTTAACTGTCCAGGGGTCCTTTACCTTTTTTTGTTGTTACCTACCTCCCTGGCTCCTGCCTTGGGCGTGGTGTGACACCCCATAAATCACTGGCTCCCTCTTCTGGGTCACTCCCCTGGTCCCCTGCTTCCTCCACACACTCTTCGGAGCCCTGCCAGTCCCTGTCATGGGGGGAGGCGTTTCACATGCACAGTGTCTACATCAGGGGTCGGCAGCCTAAGGCCCATGGGGCACAACTGGCCCACGGGGGTCGTTTTACTGCCCCCCGAGCTGCCCCCAAACCGAGCCGCCCGCTTGGCTAGTCCCCATGCGCTGCGCTAAACCAGCACAGTGCGGTGCGGGGACTTGCTTCCGTGGCGCCGGAAAACGTGTCTGCGCAGACGCAGATGCCGGAAAACGTGTCTGCGCAGATGCAGATGCCGGAAAACGTGTCTGCACAGACACCAGTGCCGGAAATCGCGTGCGCACGCAGTCACGCGTGCCCGCAATCCAGCCCACAGAGGGGACTCCGTGGCAGTGAGTAAGCCTTGCTGACACCTGGTCTACACAGATACAGAGTAAGGCAAACACATGGAGACCCGAGCAGGAATGCAGTAGCACTACCCTAATGCCCCATCGCGAGTTGACTGTAATGAGATTGCTGAGAATGGGGCTAAAACATATAATTCAGCAAGTACCACCTTATTCATTCATGCTGATTAATTATATCTACTCTGCCAATCCTGGCATTACCAATGTAATGAACAGACAATGTGAAGTTGCAGGTGATGGGTTGCACTAATGTTAGCCATACTTGGAGCAGACTCAGTGAAATTAATGGACATGACTAAGTTAGGCCCATTAATTTAAATGGGTCTATTCTGAAGGTAACTTAGTTGGATGCAACCTATTACAGAGACTGATGGCCACTGAGTCCATGCCATGGCAGAGGCTCCATATAGAATGCTTTGCAAAACATGATCTGTACCTGTCCATTTTCTGTCAAACCATCTTCCTCTGACTGCTAGGCTGCTCACGTCCTCTGCTCAGCGGCTGCCACTGTACTTATTAACTGCATTGATAGTTAACTTAAAACAGCCTCAGATCAGGAATCAAGACAAAAAGAAAAAGCTGTTTCATCCATGCGGTGTGTTAATCTTTCCAAGCAGATCATGAATTACATTCCCGAAAAGAGCGACATGGCAAGAGTTATCGTTTTCCTTCGGGCCTGGAGGAAGTTCTATCTTTCTGAGAGACAAACCAGGGAAGGCTTGCTAATCATTCATTTTGGTTTCAAAATTCACCGTTGTCAATATCGTTAATTAGGTGCATTATACAGAAGTCAGGTAGCTTATGGAGAAGTACGAGCATTCGCATTAGAGGAAGAAAATGCATGAGGACAAGAGTTTGCCTCTGCCTTCCAGCACAATAAAGTTCGAAATCATTTCAAGATACAGTGGTACCTGATACTTAATTTGTTCCGAAGGTCCGTTCTTAACCTGAAACTGTTCTTAACCTGAAGCACCATTTTAGCTAATGGGGCCTCCTGCTGCCGCCACGCTGCCGGAGCACGATTTCTGTTCTCATCCTGAAGCAAAGTTCTTAACACGAGGTACTATTTCTGGGTTAGTGGAGTCTGTAACCTGAAGCGTATGTAACCCGAGGTACCACTGTACTTCAGAAATGCTAACATCACATTAACTTTTAGGTTGGCTATTTATCTACATTTAAACATGGGGATGGGGGTGCATCTGCCTTCTCTAGCGATATGCGGAGAATCTTGGAAATTAGAGACCCCTATCATGATTCGAAAAGATTGTCCATATTTTACAAGCGGAATTTCCAGCACATGCTGGAAATGAAAGTAGATCAAAGTAAATCACAGTAGCCCTGGCATGCTAAATCCACTATTTAAAAACACACACATGGACTTTTTGCTGTTAGCAATGTAACAGGGAAATGCACTGGATGCACTGTAATGTGTGGGATGAATGAAGGATTAACATGAAGAGGTACAAAATAAGTCCCGTTGCTTTTAGTAGAAATTCAGGGGTGTGATCTTTACATCTTTACATCAGCCCTCACCCACCCGGTGTCCTCTAGATGTTTTGAACTACAACTCCCATCAGCCCCTGCCAGCAGCACTGCTTTACATATTAAAACATAAAGTTAAATTTAATCTTATGACTCACCAGGAAAAGTAATGGTGCTGATTATTTCCCTGCGTGCCCAAATCCAGGAACTATTCTAGATTTTCATGCATACTAGCTAGGATCACAGAATGAGGCCTTAATAAACAGCTGCCATGTTCTGATGACAACAGATAGCGACTCTCTTTGGCTATGGGAAGTTTTGAAATGACCATTAGAATGTTTGCATTAGTTCTGAATTTCCCCCACTCTGAGCCTGATTTTCTAAGGGCTTTGTGTTATTAATTGTACTTGTATATGTTATAGGAAGTGAAGTGAATGATTGCTATTATGAACAGGAAATAGATTTACACTGTGCTTGTCACTTTCATCTTCAGGGGAGTCATGGATTCCTTATGTAGCTAGTTAACTTTCAATTGACTTTGTTCTGTACCAATAATAGGCAGCAGTTGAGGCAAGAAAGGGAACTGGGCTTTGCATATCAAATCCCACTGAATTTTACATACAAATGAAGTACAGAAATATAGGCATGGATGGGATTTAAGCTACTCGAGAACAGAAATACTTTAACATCCGGACTTGACAAGTGCAATGCTATTACACTGGAATCTAGGTTATGAGTAAATTTTGAATCGTTTAGCTCTACAATTTCCAGATAACATATCTTTATATTTGTAACACCAGACGTTTTTAATAGGTATGTTTACTTTGTCTTCTGCAACAGTTTGCTCATCAGCATAATCTTTGGTTTGTCAAAACAATATCTATAAGCCAGTAGGGTGTATCCTGAATTTCACAAATTAACAAAATATGCAAAACTGTGTAATTAGCTGAGAATGTTCTTGTTTTCCCCAAAGGCCCCTTTATTTGAATCAATCAGTATACACCGGCTCAGGAGGAATGTAATTGTTCTACTGTACTTTCTTTCTCTTGGCAATCAGGATGCAATAGCAGAATGTTTATTCTTTGTGGCATCATTGTTAATATCTGTAATAAATTGTAATTTTAAAATATGAACCTCAACAGGAACATTTGCAAAGTAAATGAACACAGCTTGGTTTGCATTAAGCGTACCTCGAGAACAGTCGCAAACTACAATATATACAGTAGTTACTTCTCATTATATGTTATGGGGCAGGAGTTATTTCTTCAGCAGTTATTTGCAGAATATGTGCGAATGGGATTTTCCGCTCATGTGATCTTTAGAGATACACAACTATTTGCATCATTCACTGCATTCATTCCTACCTATCTCGTAAATTTCACAGAGTCCTGAAGAGATTCTCATATTGCAAACGGGCTGCACACAGGGCTGGCTCATATGGTCTAAAAATATCGGTCCCCTGGATGCAGCCATGAAGATAATGGTGCAAGCATATGAGCTGGTGACAGGCTCTGCTTCTTGGCTTCTTGGTGGTGCTCTGCATGAGAGGGGCAGCTGTGATGTTGGCATCACAGTCATGTGAACATAAGGAGAGTCTTGCTGGATAAGGTCAACGTTCTACCAAGTCCAGCATCCAACAGTGGTGCCTCAGACAAGTCCACAAGGAGGCCATCATGCCATTGCTCTTCAGTGGCTGGTATTCAGTGAATAGCCATGAATTTGTCCAATCTTGTTTTAAAACCATTGGACAGAACCATTCTAACCCCTGACCCATGCCTCTGCTGGAGGTTAGGATTTGGCAGAAGTTTCTATTCACCAACAGAGAGGGCTCCACCTGTCAGGGATGTGGCTGAATCGACCACAGGGGAAGAGTCGGACTCAGAAGATAGACAGAGAGAGACAGAGTCTGGCTCTGGAGACGAAAGATCGCAGACAGAGCAGGAGGAATTGGGCTTGACCCTCCTTCACAAAGAGTTCCCAGACTTAGCTAGAACAGACAGCTTACAAGAAGGGGGAGAGATAGGCAACAGTGAGAGGGTTGCTAGGCAACCACCAGAGAGTTCTTCCTTTGAGAATGGGGATAATTTCCACCCTCCTAGCCCCCATTCTTGGAGTGCTGAAAAGGTCAGAATGCAACAGAAGGGCAAGAGGGGAAAGGCAGGGCTTTGGTGTCCTTCCTACTGTGACTGGGATGGAGACTCAGACTGACCAACTCGTTTTCAAGAGCGGCAGGCTGGAAACTGTGTGCTGGATGTAATCTGTAAATAAACATACCATAAAACTGCTAGAGAGTCATTAATTCTTACTGAGGCTTGCTTGCCTGCCTGAGATCATTACACCACCACCCAAGGTGTGAGCTTCTGTCAGGCTACAACTGACCAGAATCCTGCCAATGTTGGCGACTGTAAAGTCAGAAAAAGAGGCATTCTGGGGGCACAGCAGGATGAGCATTGGGTCTTCTGTATCCAATGCCAGCCTGTTTCCTATCAAAGGGGCCTGTACTACACCAGCTTGATGCATTTTGGGTGGCAGTGGAGTTAATAGTGGATCTATTAGGACAGATAGTGCACTGCCCCACCAAACTTTTTCTGCTCTGAGTCAGCTTGTCCTTCTTGCCTATTACAACCACCCTAGGGGGGTGCACCTCCTTCATGGATCACTGCCTTGTCATGGCGTCTGTTTCTTGGGAGAAACCTAGACAGCATCTTAAAAAGCAGAGACATCACCTTGCCAACAAAGGTCCGTATAGTTAAAGCTATGGTTTTCCCAGTAGTGATGTATGGAAGTGAGAGCTGGACCATAAAGAAGGCTGATCGCCAAAGAATTGATGCTTTTGAATTATGGTGCTGGAGGAGACTCTTGAGAGTCCCATGGACTGCAAGAAGATCAGACCTATCCATTCTGAAGGAAATCAGCCCTGAGTGCTCACTGGAAGGACAGATCCTGAAGCTGAGGCTCCAATACTTTGGCCACCTCATGAGAAGAGAAGACTCCCTGGAAAAGACCCTGATGTTGGGAAAGATGGAGGGCACAAGGAGAAGGGGACAACGGAGGACGAGATGGTTGGACAGTGTTCTTGAAGCTACCAGCATGAGTTTGACCAAACTGCGGGAGGCAGTGGAAGACAGGAGTGCCTGGCATGCTCTGGTCCGTGGGGTCACGAAGAGTCGGACACGACCAAACAACTAAAGAACAACATCAAAGGGGTTGCACCTGGGTGTCAGTTTCCTCCTCCTTAGTCTCACTGTTGCAGAACTCAGCAGGGAGGAGGATGGGGACGAAACTGAAATTAGTTGGCTCTGCCCATCGTTGGCTCTGTCTCTAATTCCCGTTGCTCTATCTGCCTTCCACTCTGCCTGTTTCAATGGGCACCAGCCACCACTGTGTGGTGGGTAATACCTAAATTAAGAAAGTGGCTATCACCACCTCTGATGCAATGCCAGTTCATATGTCGTTTCCTTTGTACGTCCACAGGGCTGCTCCACTAAGGATTTTGCAGCATATGAACCAGCTGATAACCACATCTTTTTAGTACAAGTTATGCTATGTACTCTTCACAGTAGAACTTATTTGCAGAGGTGGCAAAACTGACGGCGCTGATAAAAGGCACAAATTTAGAATTCTTTAAAGAAGCCTGGAAACCCTTTCTAGACTATTTTATAAGTTATTTCCCATATGTGAAGACCACAGAGGGGATTTGAAGTGTAAGAAAATAGCAGAATATATTAAGCATGTTAAAGAGGATGCCTGGTGTGCTCTGGTCCATGGGGTCACAAAGAGTCGGACACGACTAAACGACTAAACAACAACAACAAAGAGGATGAAATTGTATAAAGTACCTTCTGATGTGCCTATGTAAAATTACCCTGAGTTCCTGGGCTTGGCTTCCTCTTAGAACCACTTGCTTGCATGTTCCACAGGCCTGCTAGACAAGATGGTGACAGCAGACAATATTTTCAGTTGGAGCAGGAAATGAATGAATGAATCTTTATTTGCGTCAGCCATCAGCCATAGCAACAAAAGAACATTGCAATATACACAGAACAAAATAAAAAGTTGATTGTCAACTCAGGGCAGGTGGAGGATTTAGTCTTCTAGGTGCATGTTCTCTGTCCACCCCAGAACTGGCCCAAGTTATATGTGATGAGTATATCACTTTCAATAGAAAAGGCACTTTGATTTTCATCTAAAAGCACATTGCTTTGAAAGTGATGTGGTACAAACAGATCACCATCAAATATATATTAGATCTGTACCTGTACCCAAAAAGTGATTTCCCCCCCCAAGTTATCCACGTGTAAGTACTTAATTTTAGCTATGAGCCAAAGATATTTTTTGTGCCCCAAAGATATCATTTGTTCCTAAATGTATATATCCACTTGAGCTACCTGAAAATTTCAGGACAATTTCAGGTTCATCGTAAGTCAAAGTGACTCATATTGCATTTAAGACCCTCCATCACGACAGAAATGTTTCTAGAAAGGAACATTTCTTTTCTGTTAATTTTATTCCACACACGTTCAGTAGCTGTATCTACAAGAATAGAGATGAACAAACTTCTGAAAATTGTCCTGCAATTTTTGCAACCAAATAAAAAGGGAATAAGATTTTATCCAGCCTGTTATTTGATATTGCAGGTACTAGATTTATTGTATTAATATGTACCTCGACTTTAAAAAATTGTGATCTCTTGTAATCTAACCAGACTCGATTTTATCAGCATTTTGTTGTAAGGCAAAGTAAAATGTGACTCTGAAAAATGCTCTGATCTTGTTCAATCAGAAGCCCACATAGCAGAGATGTTATCAGGCAGGAGATGGACACAAACATTAGTTACATGGCTCTTTCCTTTCCTTTCTTTTTTTAAGCCATAAGCAGCACTAAACTGTGCTTATCTTTCAAGAGGTAGAGTGCATGTTTCATTGTCCTTACCAGTCCCGCTGTTTTTGTTATAGAGCTGAGCTCTACCTGTTATAACAGTAGGGTCGTTCTTAGAGAATCAGAAACATATTGTACATCTAGTTTAAACAACAGGCTTTTCAAGCTGGAGGGCACAACTACCACTGAAATAAAAGGGAAGGGCAGCAGCTGCTACAGCAGTATAATATGACAGCCCTGTTAGCCTAAGAAAGGTATGGCCATAAATATATTGTTGGATTTCAGCTCCGGCAAGCAAGGTCAATGATCTTGGCAGTTGTAGGCCAACAACCTCTGGAAAGACCATGGTTTTCTCAACCCTGGCCTTAGTGCTGAACAAGCTAGAGGCCACAATTAAAAGATGAGCAAGAACTTGCTTTGGTCATTTATTTGCGCCTTTGTCTTGGTTGCATCTGCTTACGCTCTTGCAGTTATGTCAAGTCCTAGGATTTAATTGCAGGTCCATTCCAAAGAGAATGCAGCGCACGTAACTGAAATGTTTTTAAATTTTGCCATGTTACATACGATTATTATTATTAAAATTTAAATAAGAATAATAATTATTAATGTCTATGTAAGGCTGCAACATTTAAGAAAATGTCAGCTGCATGCACTGCATTCTCTTTGCAATATAAGGGCATTCTCTATAGAATATAAGGGTGGTTTTAATATACCATATTAAAGATGCGTTGTTTGAGTCTCTTTAAAGTTACAAATAAATCCTGCCTGCTCAATATGTGATGGCTTAGGGAAAGGAGCAAATAAATTTACAAGAAGCAGCTAGGTGAGCTAGGTCCACATGTTTCATTTGTACACTTCCTAAAATTATGGAATAATTACTATTATTGCATAAAATTGATACCTTTTCTTTCCCCTTTCTCCTTTTATTAACCAAGGTGCCTTTTTAAGGTGTAAAAATGTGTTTTATTTAACATTTCCAATTTCAGGGCAATAAATATATTTGAAATGATATAAAAGATAATTTAGAAACCTGTTGGAAAATAGAACAGAACATATTCCCTGCACATTATAAAAATACTTGTAGACTAGAAGTCAATTAGACAATTTGGGCACCACACGTACAGTGCTTTGGGCATGACAGAAGAAAAGTAGGGTATAAATATCTCTTTGTTTCAGGGAATGAGAAGATAGAGTTTTGTGCAAAGCACATTAGTGGGAAAGCCATAATAATTTTTGATTGAAATTTATACTTCTAAATAAAACAAAGGGGAGTTGGGGATAAGTCTTATCACCACCACCATCATTAAAGAGTGGATAATGTTTTTATTTTCCTGCCATTACAAGACATTTTCCACAGATTAATGCACCTGCTACCAGTGGCTGTAAAAAAATTGAAAATGTGCATAAAGTTAACTGAAAATGAAAGACTCTTGCTTTGCATGAGGAAACTGTTTCTTCATTATTGCTACCAAGTAGCATACAATTTCTACATTCTTCCTATAAAAATTACTTCACAAATACCCATCTCTCCCTGGTTTACTTACAGTTACACTATCTTTTTTCTCTTTATTATATTCTTGGTTGGCTACATGAGCATCACACAGGTTTAAAATGCCTCAGCGGAAAAGGTCACTCTTTTTTTCCTTTCAGAACATTTCTTTGCTGTTCTTGTTCCCAGAGGCAAACCTAGAATCAACAATCAATAAAAGAACATCACATAACACTTTGACTTACCTTTGAGGAATATCCATTAGGTCAACGCATTTTACCAGAGCAAAGAATGATTTTTTAAAAATATATATTATTATTTTTAGTCAATCAGTTTCGATATAATGGCATTTCCTAATTACTGGATGGAAATTTCTTTAAATGGCTATGAGCCGGTTCTGTCATATATCCGCATCCATCTTTTATGGTACCTTCGAAAGGTAATGAAAGGATTTCATTGTGATAAATTTCCTTTTTCTTTCTTATTGCTGTTTTTTATGGACTGAAGTGCTCCCTTGTTATAACTCTGTCTCCAAAATGGATAAGGGTTTGGAATCCTAAAGGAAGGGCTAATAAGTACACAGACTAGCATGTAACAACTAGGACAGCGGCG